GGACCGGTTTCATCAAAACTCAGTGATCGGTGTGCCATGTAAAGCGCGTCACAGGGACTGAAGCACGTATTCCCCGCTCCACTCACACACTACCGACATTTCTGGTCACGGTGACATCTTGGGTGGTCTGCTGCAGACCTCCTTCGGTGGCTCATCTTATTTAAATCAAACTCAGAACGACAGTCAGTGAAACCAGAACAGCACATTTGGGGCATTGCATCTTCATTCAGTGTGCACCAAAAAACCATAGGGATAGTCAATTTGTTCAATCGAAGTTCATTATTTAATACGTTTTCCAAATTTCACAATGGATTGCATTCAAACACAAAGGTATTGTGAATTAGTGAAGAAGTGATGATGCAGCATCAAATTTAACTGGGAAATTGTAATTCCCAAGTTGTCAAAATAAGAAGAAACAATTATTTCTAGAAACGACCTGGAACAAAGAACACAACACTGCAAACGGGCACGATTTAAGTCAGGAATCGTTTCACTGTATCTCAGCTGGTGGTTACTGCAGAGAAACAATATTTTATTCATCAAAGGGCATGCAAATCTAAATGGTATCAGCTCACTCTTCCGCTTACGTGGTCCCCAGGGTAATGCCAGACTGATGCAGACCTGATGATTCAGTAGGGTGTTTTGGCGCTTAATTCCTCTGCCAATCTTAGCATCCATTCATTCGGAGTTGGGTAAACAACCTGAAACAAAGTCCCGCGATTGGCTTGGTGGCCCGTCTCCAGCGGATGATGCAGGCATTCTGCGAAACTGACCTGAAGGCGTGGTTATTTGTGTCTTACTAAATCTCATCCGCTCGTTTTCGATCTATACCGGTATGCGTTCGGCCAATCGGGTACGCAACTGTCTCTCTTTTCTACCCGCCTAGGTTGTTCAGCACACACATTTAAACTCATAGATTACATGCAATTTCGCGGACAAAGGGAGTTGTGATTTTATCGTGTTATATTGTCATACCCTGTGAGACATAAACTATTTGGTTTCTGCTGTAAGCGCCAGCTGAGATGCAACGAAATAATTCCGGAAATAAAACGTGCTTGCTTGCGGTGTTGTGTTCTTTGTTCAAAAAGGGTGCGACAAAAGTATGGAGACACCA